TTATTTGAAACTTTTCACGCATATTTTATTCATTATAACTATACTTGATAATTACTTGGCATTGATATTTGCCTGATTATTGTTATTACATATATAATTATTGTTCATTGTATTTGAGCAAATAAAACATTTAAAATTTAATATCAGAATAAATAGCATTATTTAATATTCGGAAAGAGCTGTATTGCAAACACGATTAATAAATGTATACGATGAAGTATTCAATATAATTAGAAAATACCTAACATATAAAGACAAAACCATAATTATATATATATATATATATATATATATATATATAATATTCAATATTTAATAAACTTTTCATCTCTTTGATCTACATAATTAACATATTAAAATGATAACCAGAGATCTGTTACATAAAATAAAATATAAATTCATTAAAAATCGCAAAAACGAAAATAATAAATTTAAATTAAGTGTATCCATAAATTTATAACAAAATTATTATTATTATAAAATAATATTATTTTGAATATAAATAAATATAAAAACACAAAATTTCACATAAATATATCAAATTCAAGTAACTTAAAAATTTGGAATAATTTTTTTTTTTTTTTTATAAAATTCGACTACCTCCAAATCCCATAATTCTTCGTCAAATTCTTAAAAGAAATCAAATTTATACAACTATTAGAAGAATAACATTTTTAGTTAATATATATAATTTATAAAAATTTATAAATACAAAATAATATCAATTTTAATAAATAAATTAATTTTATTTAAATAATCCATTTATAAATTATAGAATCAAATATATTTAAGTTCAAAGTTTTAATAAATTTATATTTTTACGTAAATCTAATAAATACGTTGTATTTGTAATATCATGAATTAATTAGCATAACAACAAATCATCAAAAAAAAAAAATAATTGAATTGTTAGGAAAAGTTGATGAGAAAAAGAAATTAGTAAAAATTGATAAGAAATAGTTGCTGATCGAAATGTCATGATGACTCATCGCTATGATTTTATTCTAAGATTTTACGTAATACTTTCAACAAAAACTATAACATGTTTTATAATATTATAAAATATTTCAAATAAAAAATATTCTAAATATTTTACTACGAACTTTATTTTTAATTTTAAGAAAATAATACTTTTAACGGTTAATGTACATATTAAAAGTTTATGTCCATATTATTACCGAAATCATAATTTACAAATGTACAATTTAACTATTCTATAAGTTAGAATAAAAAATAAAAAAAATACTATATTTAATTATTCTATGCAATGTAGAAAGAAATGGCATAAATTAAATTTATCTTTTCTAAAATTATTCGATATATAGAAATAAATTCGAAAATTTCTACATATACGTAATTTTAGTAATAATTTAGTTGATTGAACCAAATAATAAAAATCATTAATTCATTATATAATTTTTAATATTCCAATTAATTGTTTTTTTTTCCTTTAATAATAATATTACATCATTCGAGTGTGTTAATAATTAAGATATTAAATAATTGTTCTATCAAACGCATAATATAAATTATTTATCCACTGTTATTAAAAAATTTTTAATTTAAAATTCCTTGTATAAATAAATTATTAATATCTTAATAAAATTTATAATTATTACGTAATAGATACATACTGTGATTTATGTTATTGTGATTTATTAAAGGATCCAATAAAATCACTAAATATATTTATAAATATATTGCAAATCTTTTCGTTACTAAATAACTTAAGCAATATATTTAGTACTTATAAACTTTATATTATTATTTTCAATTCGATAATTGATTTGTTTCATTAATCAATGATATTGTCAATAGTAAATTATGCTTATGACAATATTATACAGTAAAGTTTATCAACCAGACAATATATGTTGATTATTATTTATGTATTTTAGAAAGTTATAATTCAAAATGTTCCAAAGTAGTCCTTATAGAAAAATTATTCTTTCAAAGCATTTTATCGCAAGAGGTAATAAATTAAAATACATATTAATATAATAAGTAATAATTTTTTTTCTCATTTAATTATTCACATATTAGTTATTTTAATTATAAAAATTAAGTATCTGTAATGAGTTTTTTTTTTTAACAATACTATAGGTACTATAAATTACATACATTATTTGTAAATTTAATGATTATAAATGAATTATATATAATTAAATGTAATTAAGACTTTTAATAAATGATATTGTTTGTAAAAAAAAAAAAAATTGAAAAAAATTATAACCTACAATGTTTTAACATATTAAATTTGAGTTTATATATTATTTCAACGCCACTTAAGTACATATATTATAACATAAATATAATATATTTTCTTTCGCGAATAATTAAGTTATGGATAAAATTAGTTCACAAAACAGTTATATCTTGATTGTATGAAACATGTACTTTTAATAATCTGAAAATTATTGTTTTTCCTTACCCTTAATATAGCATTCGAATTAATGATTATAAAAGTATTACTGTATAATAATAATTATAAAGCGCATATTTATTTAATCCTCAGTTAGTAAAAGAAGCTTATATTATTATTAAATGCATATAAATACATTCAAATCCATAACAAATTATTTCAAAGCCATTAATTACGAAAAGTGACATTGCAATTTGATGCCTAAAATCAAGAGATTGAAATATTATTTAGTATTATGATGTTTACACGAGTATCAAGCTCAGTACAAAGAAGATATTACATCTGCATTCATGGCTATCAATATTTTATTAGAATAAACAGCTTAAAAGGAAAGAAGCCAGGTACGACGTTAAAAATTGATGCAATCAAGCGCAATTATTAATTTGTGGGATGAAATTAAATTTTCATTACAAAACAATTTTAGAAATAAGAAGTAGTTTTATCAAATCATATATCATCAACATTATTTACAAATTAAGACTGATAATAAAATTTATTTTATTTTTTTACTACATTCTTTTATTATACTGCTTTAGAAATAGGATCGAATTAATCTTTGTACTATTTCACGTTTTAAATCATACATTACCGTTACAATTGTTTTATAATATCAAATATCTTAGTATTTTATATCTCGTATTCTATAATTTTCAAATTTATCGATTAAATCTTTTCATTTTATTAAAATTACTTAAAAAAAAATATGTTCATTTTTGTATTATACTATAATATAATATTGAGAAATTTTTAACAACGACTATTCTAAAATCAAATTTTGCAATTTATTAAACGTTATAACGATCTTTACTTGGTATATTTTATTTTCTTAAAATTGTTGAATGTGTGTGTGTGTGTGTGTTTATGTATATGTGTATTAAGATATTCGAATAATTTTAATAAATTTAATAAATTCAGTCCTTCAAATACTGCAGTGGCTTTCTATTCTGTCTGACGGTCTGTGCAAATGTTTCTCTTGCTTAACTACTCTCAACCCTTTCACGATCATTACTCACCCCTCCGCCCCCTCAATCGCTCCCCCTCACTCCCTCTACCCTTCTCATCTTTCACACACACACACACACACACACACACACGCACACGCACACGCACACGCACACGCACACGCACACACACACACACACACACACAACAACAATAATAATAATAATAATAATAATAATAATAATAATAATAATAATAATCAAGAAAAGAATAAAATAATTAAATATTATTTTGAATTTTAGAGATTGCGCTTCTGAATGTGAGAGAAATCTCTGATAAAGTTTAATAGAAGTTTAATATGCAAAAGAATATGTAAAAGGCATGCAAACGAGCTTCTTTAATTATCACACGAAATTTTATTAAATTTAATATTTGTAAGAAGCTATAAGAGCATATAAATTTTTAAATACTAAATTATTTTTACGAATTCAATTGAACTCCTACTTCTTATTGTTTAATTTTAAAAGAAAATTACTATAGAATATATTCTCATATTTCATCCATTGGGATTAATAACAAATTCTAAAAATTCAATTAAACTCAAAAATAAAATAGTTATTAAATATATTAGAAAGAGATTACTATATCTATAAATATACTAAACTATTAATAAAAAATAGTGAACAATGAAATGTTCTTTGTAATTTATTCTTTGTAAAGCTTGCATAAAATTTCGACAATATATTAATAAAAGCAGTTCTTAAATATGATTGAATGTCTATTCGGCAATAAAATAAAGTGCATTGATTCACGTCTCAATATCCTCGTATTTATTAATATTATTAGAAAATGATCGTACATATTTTTTTAATTATATGCAATACTGTAAATACATAAGAATGTAAGATATGAAATATTTTAAATCATTTAAAATACACTTATATTATATCACTGATATATATATATATATATGTATGGGTCTATCGATTGATTATATATAAATTTAATTTAATTTAATAAAAAAAAATTACACATACAGAAAATTTATCAATAATTGTGTCTAACTAGTTGGACAAAAAGATGTGATGTGAATAATTAATTAAATATTTGTTAGAATTCGAAATTGATAGAAATACTTATACAGACACTCACAAGGATATGCTATTTGCGCAAACCATATGCATTAAATGTATTAGATTTACAAAATTTACATAAAAAAAGTAATAAATTAAAGAAATTAAAACAATGTTTTATAAAATTATTAAATTAAAATAAAAAACATGGTAACTTGAATATATTTTAATAAGTTTTAAACGCACATTATTTATTTCTCGTGATATACGATGAATTTGTCGCCAGATTTTAGGCATGAAACGAACATTAAGAATCATGCGAAATTATTCAATAAATTATTAGGAATAAATTTGGTGTAGCGATGAATCATAAAGCAGACGATAATAACAAAAAGAGCATTTTGAGCGATGGCCTTTGCTGGCGGTGCGTATAAAGTTCCAAGCGCAAGATAAGCAAGTGAGCCAGGACGAATGTATCGATAATATAATGAAACCGAATGGAACGTATATCGAACGCAAAAAAGCAAATATTTGGCGCGCAAATTTCTAGCGCTGCCACTAACCTTCATGGTGATACGTAATTTGCGTAATTTGACGGCTCGATGTGATCTAGGAGTCGCTCGGATCCGTCGCGCGACCAGGATCAAAGTCAACGGGCGCGAGGACAAACGGCCCTCAAATACCATCTCCCACCACCTCGGGATGCGCGGGGCTACTGCGCGTCATCCCCGAGGTGCCGGCCACGAAATTGTCCGTCGATCGAGATAAAATATTAGAAAGAATTTAAACTCCACTTTGCTATTATTATCGCTGCTTTCCACGTACTTCTTTTGGCTCTTTCCGCATTAATCATTTTTTAATCAATTTTAATTCTGAAAATATTACAAGCCTAATAAAATCTACTTTAGAAAAGTCTCACATGTGATATATTTATAACGATATATCGTTTATTTTTAATTCGTCGACGTATTTGTAAATACTTTTATTTCATTTGCATTAACGAAAGTATCGTATGTTAAGTTCAATTTTTTTTCATTTTTTTTTTTTTAAATTATTATTATTATTATTATTATTATTATTATTATTAATGAAAAGGTATTCTTATGCCGTTTAATATTCGCAACTTTGCAATCTAAAGTATTTACAGTTTTAGTTGAAAGTTTTGTACAGGGTTTTGCTGTTGTCATATCAAGATTGATTACAGAATAAAATGCATAATTAATCAACGTTTACATAATATTAAAAAAAAAAAAAAAAAAAACGATTTCTTATTGTAGTAAATATAGTATAAGTATATAATATATAGTATACTATATATAAATATAGTATATGTAGTATATATAGTAAAGCATAGTAAACTATAAACTAAAATTATCTGTATTAATAAAATGAATTAAAACCTTTCTGTTCTAATAATAGAAATTTCAAGATTTCTGCGTGAATGGACACGTAAGTGTAAAACGATTAATTATTGAATCATACTTTCAAAAAATTGGACGCAAGATTTGATTTTCATGAAAATCATTAATTTGACTATTAAAAATTCTATATAAACTCGAGATGCTATTTAATGTATTCTAAGAAGTTTTAATATTTAATAATAATAATTTGACTTTTAATTTCATCCTCATGATTAGTATAATATAAATTGTAGTGTAATGTTCTAATTATATTCGTTATATCGTTATTCGATTCATAACTAAGCTGCAATCGTTATTTACATTAAAAGAAAGCTATTAACAATTTATAAATTATTTTTTATTATTTTTTACAAGTAATTGATAAGTAAATTTACATGTTTCGAACAAATAGAATTTAATGGAATATATTTTTTAATGCTTATTTTGCTTTAAAAAAAAGTATGTCATAAAAATGTTGTGCACCTGACATTTTATTAATACGACGATTATAACTATTAAGCCAAATAAAAAGTATCTGCTACATCCATACAAAGTGAAATTTTAATATATATTTAATTAGATAATTAATACATTTACACGTGATAAAATGCTACTTAATACGTAACATTATTACGTATGCAGCTTATTGAAACTTATTCTAAGAAAATTAAACATACCAATGGCACTAACAATCTCTAGCCCAATTTTAAAAAGATTTTAAAAAATTATTACAAATGACATTATTGAATGGCTTTCTTTAATAAAAATTATAAGATAAAACTTATATTATTTTATGGTATTGAATTATTATAAATAAATAAAATTTTCCTAGACTTGCTATTGCGAGCCTTATAAATCTATAGAACAATGAAGGAAATAAAAAAAATTGAGTTTTCTAAATGTTATTAATAGATAGACTATTTCATTTCTCTTTAACGCGATTTATGACTTTTTATTTGTAGGCTGCATAAATAAATTATTATCCGCAATAATTTTGTTAATAGAAAATCTATCTATTTTGGCTTAACATTACTTTATAATAGCATTTTTCTTGAATTTTATCACAAAGTTATATTAGCACAAAAAATATGTATTTATAAGCTTATTTTAACTTCGATAACATAAAAGTTCTTAATTAAAATACTTTTAAAATACTTGTGCTTAAAAAAAAATATATATAAGTAATAACAACTGCTAACGACGAATCATAATATTTTTAGTTATCTTAATGCGCTAACATTAATAAAAATTAGTTATGTATGAAAATTTTAGTTTATCTCTATTCAATAATGCGACTATAATTTATAGTCATTAACGCGTTGTCTAACTAGTTTATTTACTACTTATTTTCCGTCAAAGTCCTTAAATATTTATGTTAAATTTATATCTAAAACAGACACACGCGCGCGCGCGCGCACACACACACACATATATAAATATTTCTTTATACTTCATAATCTAAAAAATTTTCTTAATATACCTAAGCATAATTGATTTCTTACCTACACCAAAAGGAGCATAAATAAATAAAACCATTAATAAATAAAGTATTATTCAACATATTTACATTAATAAAATAAAAATAAATTTCAATAATGAAAAAGTTGATGATCATTTTTTCTTGAAATTTACTAACGTGTAACCTAAAACAGTTATGGAAACATTAATTATTTAAGTAATCTCAGATAATCCTAGCGTATGGCAAGAATTTTTCAAATTGATATACTACTGTCACAGTTCTACAATTTTAAATTAAAAAATCATTACAGCAAGTTTTCATAAAAAAATTTTTACAATATGCTTGTATATTTATAAAAAAAAAAAAAAAAAAAAAAAAAAAAAAAAAAATTATACCACTGAAAAAAATAATGTAGGTAATGATATTAAATATAAGTAATTAAATGAAACTCATTTTAATGCAAATTTGGGAAAAATATAATTGGCCATTAAACATAAAAATCTGTTAATAATATCATTTATTATTACAATATTACATCTTAACGTTATTTCGTACAGAGAAATCTTGAACAATCTATATGCCACGAACAATGCTTCGGTTTTTCTTTAATATTTTTCTTTAATAACTATATTTAAAGGTATATTTTCATTAACTATAAGCTACATTGAAAAATAAAATGGCCAATAAAATTATACGAAGAAAATATTATATTACAAAATTTACATGATAAAATAGATTTAGAGATAAAAAAAAAAAACATAATGTCACGGGATGAAATGAAATGTATAATTAATCGCAATAGGTTTTTATTTTATTCTGTAAATAATTCCATGTGCCTTATTGCATGAACTATACGGAGTGGATGGGGCGGGCGGCGGGGTGGCGGAGGGTGGCGCCTAGTACAGGGTTCGCGCATCAGGAACCCGCTGAGGCCCCGTTAAACACAGCGTCTCGCTCCCTTTTCCCGGAGCGCCTGCCGATCCTGAAACATCTTATGATCGATCGATCAAAGCCGGGAACGCGTGGCTGATCCTTGGTGAGAGGCTCGAGACTTGCCAAAATGCAAAGTGCACGGAGAAAAAACCCGGCGGGATGAAAGAAAAAAAAAAATACTCTTAGAGGTAAGTTGCGCGATAAATGGTTTGCTTGGTGACAATCGGGACGACGCTTTTCTTTCTTCACATATTACTCTATTCCAAGCCTACCAAAGTTCACGATATCGATCCTCTTCTACTCACCGACGTTTATAAGTATAATAATAGGAGCCCGACCCCCGCATGCATACGCACATCTTTCCCTTATACACGCGCTTTTCTTACATCTCGCTGATGAAAAGACGTCGGTTATTCATTCGCTTCATATTATTCCGAAGTTTAAAAGGCTTAAAAGATTTGATTTTAAGCCATTTGGAAGATTTATAATGTAAATTCGGTTCTACGCGATAGATATTTAAATAGCAGAGATTTCTAAAGCTAAGACGCTGCTCTTATTTTTCAATCGAATGTCCGTCACTCTGTAAACTGCACTTTTTTCTATAATAATAAATAAGAAATTAAGAAATAATACGTTAATATAACGAATAATGTCTTCTTTTAGGATCTTATCTTATTGTTTTCGTAGTTTTATTTATAAATAATATAAATAAGAGATGCTCCGACCTACGAAATTCCTTATACTGATTATAATTACGTGTATTGTCTTTTTTTTTTTTTTTTTATTGTTTTTTTATATGTATATGCAATATTTTAGTCCTAAAACGTAAGCGGAAATTAATAGGAAATTAAAATGACGTATTTTTAGATTCGTTCTTATTCATAATTTGCATAAATCCATTTGCTTAAATGGATTTCTATTATGAGATGAAATTTTATTTTTTAGGTTCTATTGCAGAAACAAAAAATTAACTATAGTCGAGCTTTAATTATAAGGGTCCGGATCATTATGAAGTTCTGCAAGCTCGAACTCCTAAAGTTGTAAAGTAAAATTGCAATCAATTTCAATTCTACCTTCGTACAATGATTCTATAAGCTTGATCTCAATCTCAATTAAATACAATGCATTATTAATATAAAGCATGTTTAAGACATTTGCTTCGATGTAATTGACTATCTAAAAGTTTATCGAAAATAATACTCTTGATTATTTTTACAAATAAATTCAGCGCAATTTAAAGAAACAATAATAATAATAATAATAATAATAATAATAATAACAAAAATAAAGAAGATTGATCATAACATTTTATAATTCCGTTGTTTTGTATTTAATGTTGGTTCTATCAATTTTTTACAATTAATTTTGCGGAAAGAGAATCATTGATTACATTAATATTTCGAAAGACATATTACTTATTATATCTTATACGAAGGTAAGCAATATCAAAGCTTTATATTTACTCAGCAATTACAACAATTATTTTATTAATATTATTATAATTATGAAGTAATTCATTTTTGCCCCATAATTCAGTATACAATTATATAATGTCCTAAAATCCTTGATTCGAATGAAGTATTTTTAAATCGCTAATAATTTTGACTACGAATTACAATGTCGTTCCGTTGCATTTAGCCGATATGTAATTGATCGTTTGATATTATTATATTTGCCCACTATGATTTATACTAAATTCATTTATCATAGGGTCTTTGCAAATGTATTACGTTATCGCATAAGTGCACGAACTCATTCTTCTGCGCTTTCAATATACAAAACAGATAACATTTTTTTTTTTTATCAAGTACTCAGATGCCACGATTTTACTACCATAAATGTCAATATAAACGTGCATTAATTACGAGATCGGAAGTCACTTTACACGATAACTAATTGTTGTAACATTTAATAGTACCTGCGAATGATTAAAATCAAAAGATTATTATCTTTCCTCCTTATCTTTACCTATCCAGCATTCGACTAATTCTTAAAAATGAAAAAGCTATTTAATACTCTAACGATTAAACTAGAAAATCATTACCATAATATCTCGTACAAATAAAAAATATCATTTTTCTAACTTACGGCTCTATTTTACCATACAATCTTATATTAATAACACATTTTCTTGTGTAATTTAAAAAGATATGTTGTCTGTAAAATAAAATATCTTCGTTTAAAGACCAATGACGCTTAGCTAATATGAAAGTACAAAAGAATAAAGTAGAGCAATATTCCGGTTGAGAACAAAAGATCGAGTTTAAATTAAGCAGTATTTGTAATTACTTATTCTAATACATTTACAAAGGTTAAATAGTAAATATTTTATATTAGAAATTTGAAAATAATATGAAATTTGTTGGAAAGTTATGTAACTTCTTAAAATGAAACATAAAAATCATATATGACATATGCCCGGATAGCTCAGTCGGTAGAGCATCAGACTTTTAATCTGAGGGTCCAGGGTTCGAGTCCCTGTTCGGGCGTTATTTTTTACTTTTTTTTTCTTCTTTTTTTATTTATTTATTTACACAGATGTAATTAAGCATTACAGGCCACATTAAAAAAAAATTTCTTTAATGTATGCTCTTTAATGTACGTATTTCAAAATATTATATTGCACGTACCAGTTGCACATCCTCCACTCGTCTTTTTCTAATCAATTAAAAATAGCTATTTTGTTTATGGGACTCGTAATATTTTTATTTTAGAAAGACGCGTTATAATCGGCCACTTATGCAAGTAGATAATATTGATGTGAGAAGGATATGATGATGTAATTAATAATTCTTATAATAGAAAAATGTTTATTTTATTTTAATATTTTATCTAACCAATATATAAATTTTCAAAAACAAAAAAAAATAAATCAAAAATTTTTTACATTTCTTTTTTAATATTAAACATTTATTTGGTCGAACGCACTTCGAAATAACCATTTGGTTGTCCAAAAATCACCGTTGATACCATGTTGATAAATAAACCTGTTTCAATTAGGCCTGGAATTAATAAAAGTTGCTTGTTCGTTAAAGACCAATCGCGTATGTTATCAGGAAAATGCCAATCCAAAATAAAATTCCCGTTTTCTGTAACCACTGGACCCTAAAATAATTAAGCACTCTTAATCAAATTATCGAACATTTTACTCCACTTTTTAATCGATATTGTACTAATATTCAAAAAAAAAAAAAAAAAAAAAAAAAAAAAAAAAAAAAAAAAAAAATTCCTACTTCGAATAAATAATAATAATGAGTTTATATGGAAATTATATTTAGAATTTATATTCTTAGATTCTCTAGTAAATAATTAATCGTACTAATCTTTTTTTCTTCTTCTTTCAAATAAAAATGTCCCAAATTGAACATATAAAACTAATAATCACTTTAAAGAAAAAAGAAAAAGAAAAAGAAAAAGAAAAAGAAATAGAAAAAGAAATAGACAATTGTGTCTATTTTTGACAATAATGCTTCAACTACATATTATTTAAAAAAAATATATATTTCAATTTTCCATTTGCAACAGTTTAATTAATTTAACAACAACCATATAATGTTTTCATCTTATACAAGTGAAATTAAATATTGTATGAAATATTAGAATATAACAATAAGAATATTTAAACGTGACATGATCATTATATAACATTGATTGTGTAATCAATCCATCGATATATATAATTTTGTATTTTATTACTGTCATTGAGTTGATATACTATTTTAAAATTTTGCAAAAACAACATTTTTAATAAATAAATACATCTTACAACTATTGATACAGCCATTCTTAGCTTAATTTTACCACCAAAATTATCTTCAATTTTCTTCATCACTGGAACATAAGCCATTGGAAGAACTTCTATTGGTACTTTTTTGTATTTTTCCCCAAGTCTAACAGAATCTTTGCTTAAATCAGAAATAAAAAGCTATTTATGATGTTGAAAAAGAATAAATTTTTTTAAATAATCCATTTATTTATAAGCATTGGCATACATTCATTTGTAAAACAAAATAATATTATTGTTAGATTTAAGTTGTCAATTTTTATAATTTTAGCAGTTTATAAGAAAAATTAATATTATATATATTATAAATAATTATAAATATGGCTGGAAATTTGAGAAATCTATATTTTCATTTAGATAAATTAATTATAGTCATTATAGCTTTATAGCTCTGTTTATAGACTGAAAATAAATATTTTTTTTATCTATCTTCTATTATTATATGAATATACTTAAGCATTATTTCACAGATACTACAGATCCTTATCGATGACATTAATAATATTAATTACCGAATATCTGCAACAACAATGAAGTTCTTTGTACAAGAAGCAATAATTTTCTCTTGTAATAAACATCCTCCGCCTCCTTTGATAAGATTAAAATCACTGTCTACTTCATCGGCACCATCAATAACACAATCTAACTAGTAACGTAAGAATATATTTTATGCAATCAATACTATATTAATATTAAAGAATTGCAAATTAAAAATAAATAAAAATTTACATTAGGATGAGTTTCCAAGTCTCCTAGCTTTAAAGAATTCTTGATTATTAGCTGACGAGATTGGAACGACGTAGGGACACAAACTACATTAAGATTTTCTTCTTTAACACGTTGGCCTATATATTGCATAAGACAATAATCAAGATTAAAACAACTATGTAAAGTAAATTTTTTTAATAAAAAGCATAAATGAACTTTGTTAAGATTTTAATTTTTTTTTTGTTTTTTATTTGATATGAGATAAGCAAAAAATGGTTTGGTATTATAGAGAAAAAATTGATGAATAAATATGATTGATAGGCGCGCTGAAATCATTTTCAATTTTAAATATGATATTGACATCGGATTAAGATTAAAATTTATTTAATTGTTATAATATTTACATTATTTTTTGTTGATTATTTTTTATGTAATAATTTTACTTTACTTTTTGCCAATGTTTCAAATATCAATTGCACAAAGAGAAAGAATAATATTAATGCAGGAAATATATAAAAGGATTTATCAAATGCTTAATAATTTATGGATCGTTGTTTTTATAATGTTTCAACGTATTCAATTCAACTTCATATTCAATTTTGTTTTAAAGTACATCCGCACAATTATAACAGGCTAAGCTCATTTTTACACTCTACAGCATCGGCAGCTATTGTAATTAAAATATAAAACTTACAAATATTTATAGAATGCTTATAATAAAAGTTAATTGAATAATAATATCAAATCGACGTTTTATTAATATAGAGCTTACCAAGCCTTTCAACGGCATAAACAATTGTTGAACCACTACCAATGCCAACAATATCGTTATCCTGGGCATAAATAAATTATGATCGACAATAAATTTCAAATAATGTTAATATATCAACTTACATAAAATTAACAATCGACATTTATTACCTTTATGTATGTGTCAATGGCATTATACGCCGCAGTTTGTTTTGCTTGTTCCATTAGCAGTTGTTTCCGATATCTTCGGCTTTTTATGAAAAACTTGTAGAATCCGTAGTTTACGTAAATCTTCCCGATAATAATAATAATTTCTTTTCTATACTCAACATTAACGCGAGAATTTTATGTCCATTGTGAGCTAGAAAAAAAATAACAGAATGAGAAGAAAAGCAGACCGACAAAGAAAGTGCAATTAATGTGCGAAAAACATAAATTCCTTTATCTCCGAACGCTACCTATCAACGCAATACAATACCAATGACTACAATAATAACGCATTGTTGCCAATATTTGCGCACACGTGGGCTACATAAGGTTTAGCATTTGTGTGCGTTTGCTTTTGCGCGGGCGCTTGTGTGTGTGTGTAAACGGCCGGCAGAACGATTGTTCGAATGGGTATTTTTCTTGATGCTCGTTGCTTGAGCGCGAAATGTAAGCTTTGCGGAGTGGACAAAAATTATTGATAATAAAAACGATGCCAAGCTACTGTCGAATATATAGGGGCATAATTATTAATAATACAATTCCAGACCCACGCTATTTTCCTGTAACATGCCGTAAAGTTTGTGCATTACGTTCTTTGAAAGCACCTAATATAATTCTCAGAGTGAGCACGCGACGAATCCATCTTTGAATTTAGCCGCCAAACTTAATTCTAACTGGCAAAAATAACCGGGATTCCTTAGTTCATGGAGAACATTTGAGCGTGAGAAGTGCAGTGTAATTTATAAAAGTTTATTAATAAAATCAACTACATAACTCTATTGGTTTAATAATCTATGCGATGGCCAAACAAATAACAAATATTGCAAAGAATGGCTTTTCATTGTTTAATAAAAATACCTTGAGTTGTGTAAATATTAACGGTTAGTATAATTTATAACCTTGGCGTATCTTGCACGTGATTACACCCATTATTTATGTAATTTAAAAATTTAATAAAAAGAAATGAACACACGATTCAAGAGAAGCCCCTTGTTAATAGCGAACTAAAAAATTTAACGATTTATTTTATACTAACGATACTTAACGATTTTATACTTAACGAGCATTTTCGATATTAACAATAAATTGTAATAATAATTGTTATTACCTGATTTCAGTAACTAGATTATTATATACACCAAACTCGTTAGGACTAGATGGATATTTAAATTCAAGAGATTATGTAAAGCATCAGTTTTTAAGTATGGATACGATGTTCCGTCAAAAAATGAACGACAATATAAGTAATTATGGAGATGAGCGATTAATTTTTACGGAGGACCTAAAGAACATGTTACACTTAGTTGAAAAAAATCCATCTGACTTAGAACTTATGTTAAAAATGATTAAAAAATATAATTCACAAAATAAATTAAGATTTGGTAGTTTTGTATTTGGAACTATTGTCATGAGAGTATACTATTATCTTGACGAAGTCGACTTAGCCCTTAATGCTTTGAGAGATCCGGAACTAAATGGTTTCTTTGATCAAATTACAAGCTATCAATTGATAATGGATTTATTATATAATCATGGTAAATATATAGAGATTAAGGAATTGTATGATGATCTACAACAAAAATGTATTAATGGGCAACCTCACCCTAGAAATCCATTTATTTTGGTAATGGCAGCTTGTTACAAAGAGGTAAATTTTATAATGTAAATTTAAGCAATGCGTGTGTATAAACAAGTTTTTAATCTATCGATATTATTTTGAAAACTGCATCTTATTGTTAAATGAAAAAAAAACTTACAATTATATGCTCTAATATTAAAATAATTATTATAATGCCACGGGTTGAGATAATAGTTTTCATCATTTTTAATTTTTATATTCTTTAAAATTAACTGTGCTACAATTAATATGTAAGATGAAAGTAAGCAAGGAAGTAAGAATAAAAGATAAAAATTATATCGCTATGTTTTGAAAGTATATGATTCGAGAGTTTAATATATAAATTTTAAAATGAGCTTAAAAGCTATTTAGAAAAATCATTTTTTACAAAGTTATTTAGTATAAACTCTAAAATAAGTGTTAGATATTTATCAATGAAAAAATTTTCTCAAATCCCGGTTATTTATTATTAATTTAAAACTAATTGAATTTGTAAATTCTAAGCAAACTAACACTGAAATAATCATTCCTATATACCGATGCATCAAAATTGCTCTTATTGCATCAGAATTGTAGCACAAAATTTGATAAATATAAAGATCGACGGACAAACAACATTAATAAGTATGTTTATGGTATATAATTATAAAATTAAATGTATTATAGAATACACCAGAAAGTTATGACTATGCTTTAAAAGTACTGAAAGATTCGCAACTGAAAGGCAATCGTAATCCACGTAGATCTATTATGTACTTGGCAGCGTTAGCTCTCAAACAAAATGATCCACAAACCGCATTGGAAATAACATCATTAGCAAGAAATCCAAATTATATTGCCATCAGATGTCTTAAAATTGAAAGTTATGTGAAATTAAAACGTCCCGAAGAAATTATGATTTATTTACGCAATTCTTTACAAGTAGATTCATCGGCAACTAAACTATCATATTTCTCAGATACGGTATACATTAAGAAATATTTTACTCTTAATTATTATGTCATTTTATTTATAAATAACTATTGTGTCTATGATTAAAAATTTTAGATTGAGAAAATTGACAATTTTATAAACGAGGAAAACCTTGAGAGCAATCATGACCTCGTACAACTACTAAAACAAATAAAACAGCAAGATTTTATTCAAACTGGAGTAAGTATTTGCTACATAATTATACTTTCATTTCTATTACAAATGAACAAATTTTTATAATTATTGTTAAATATATTTTTAGACATTGAGCAATCATCTTGATTCAGAGATTCAAGTACTGAAACACGATAGAAATCAAACGTTCGATAAAGAATTTAACCACAATAGAAAACGCAAAGTAACATTTCCAGAAATGAGAGGCGTAGTATAGACGTTAAATTTAATACAATTTAATAGTTTATTATAATTGTCTTCGAATAAATAATTAAAAATGATCCTTTCGACTAGGATAACAAAAGATCCTTTTAATATGACATTAAATTTATATTTCAATTAAATAATATATAATTTTAATTTTTATCTATTATTCAATGTTTGAACAGTTATCGATTCATAATTGGAACATTATTAACGCTCATAGTAAAACAGTTGCAATACGTAGTTTACAATTATAAATGTTCAAATTATTGGAAAATAAAATAAAATTATGAAATATATATTTCTTGAAAATTGAAATTAAATTTAATAACTATGAAAAATAATTTTTTTTATTTTAATTAAATAAATGTAATTTGTACTAAAAATATTAAATATTTAATTTTATTTTACAATTTCTATAAATAAAGTAGATCTGTCTTATTTAACTATAAGCAATATCATTCGCTTGTTTTTCATTCTTTAATAGCCATTGTTCCATACTTCTGGTGCACTTCAGTTTATTACGAACTCTTGATGCCAAAACCATTAACCAATGAGCATTAAATTGTGATGTTTTACTCCATCTAGAAAAATTAATCGTTCCATTTTTTTAATAAGTATTTTTAAAATATTAAGAAATTTTCAATTACCTTGGTAAAAGAGCACTAATTAAATTTGACCAACTGTTGATATTATCTGGGAAAGAATGCACTGTATTTAATACAGATTGTAGACCGATTTTTGAGTTTGACGTAATGAGTTTACTCAAAGATGACATGCATGTAATTTTTGCAATATGTTGGTTCGACGAATTTCGCCCTAAGAAAAGTGCTTTACTAACACACTTATTGAATGAATCATCGCTTATTATTAATAATATCCTGGCAAGATTAGTCCAAAGTTCTGATGAATCTATAACGGAAACGTATTATCAATTTTTTTATAATAAAATTTATAATACATGTACTTACATACATTTAATTCTATAAAATATTCTAAAAAATTACTAGATATTTAACATTAAAGATTTATCTATTTTGCATTAAGTTTATTGTCATATAAATTATGTCATACAGTCAGATTTAAATGAAAAATACTAGTTCAGCTAGAAATAAAAAAATTTTGTATTTAAACTTCTTGTCCAAGTGTCTTTATGCAAAACCTTTTCAGTACCTTATATATATATATATATATATATATATATATTATTAATGTACATTAACTGGAAATTTCATCTTGTAACCGCATCTCAAATAGCCAAGCCAAAGACGATGAGAGAAAAATAAAATTCCAAATGAATATCAAAGTTAAGTAATAAACTATGCATTTAATAAATAGGAGGAAAAGTGCAAAGTAATTAAGAGATTGTGCATACGGTAATGAGCAATGCACGACTGAACGGTTTCTCAACAAAAAACCAACTTCCAAAAATATAATCATGAAATGAAAATTTCCAGAGCTCCAATATGTTTTCATATGCTAAATTAAGTTATTGTTACGAAATTTTTATACTTTTGCTTACCTGGGTAGCGATGAATGTACTTGCAAAATACTCTAGAGGCGCCTTCCATGTCGTTATGTATTAAATATGAGTAGGCCATTACCTTGGCTATGTGATTTCTATATTCTGGATTATTATCGTGAGCCTTTAAATCTTTTAACGTTAGATGTGTCAACATTTTGTCCCCATCGAGCATTCCTAAAGCTGCAAGAGCTAATAGACCCGATACAATTGGAGGCTCAATTCCAACAGATTGATAAAGCAATGTTTTGGCATCGTTACTTTCTTGAAACATATAAGCCATTGCTGCCATCGCACACAATACGTAAGCTTTGTTCGATTCTGAATCATCCATCCAATCAAGAGCAGCTTCGTATGCTTCATACGACTCTTTAAAATGCTCCGCTGAAATGCATTTTTAAACAATGTTACTTACAATCATATTAAATTTAACTTTTTTGAAGTGTCATTATCTCTGAACAATTGAATAGCCAAAGCGTTATTACTAAAGTAATTAATATGAAGTAAGAAAATTTAACATAAATTAATTGATATATTTTATATATTTGAAACCAATTAGGGCATCGGAAGCTGCGATTTGTTTGTTTTTTCCAAGAGGGGCAATTATTAAAAATAATTCAATTTCTATTATTTGATTCTTAGTCTATATTATCAACTAATTATTTATGTTAATTTACTTAAATTTTTAAGGTAATGTGGACGACGGAAATTTTGTTAGAAATTAAATTACTTCTACGTGTTAAATTTGATAATTACACAATACTGACTTGAACACCTAATCATTTCTATTATCGTTAAAATGTGTTGTTAATTTAAATTTAAAAAAAAAATAACAAATCTTCTCACCTTTGAATAATGACAGAGCCAATTGACAATGTGATACAAAACTAGCCTCCTTTACCGACATACAAATCTTTATGGCTTCGTCGTAGAATTTCTGATTCACCATCACACGTGCTAAATTTATATTCAACATATCTTTCTGCTTAGCGTCTACCACAAATTTTAACCCATTGACAAACTGCTTAGCCGACGATTTATAAAGTTTTTGTCGCTCCAATAATAGTCCGTAGGCATTTGATGCATATGGATGACATGGGAAATGAACTATAGAGGGGGTAGAAATTGTTTCATAATTTTTATAATTAAAAAAATAATGAGAAATGTGGCAAAATTACGTTACTACTTTTTGTGCGTGCGTGCGTGTGCGCGCGCGTGTGTGTGTGTATGTGTGTTTTGTATTTTAACGCATATAATTGCATAATTATATTATTACCCGTGTACCACTGCATTCCATCGGATGCTGCTGTTACGGCATGCATCTTTTCAATGACGTATGTGTAAAGAGAGTCTTTCTTTATATCGGGATCTATTAATGTTTTAAAAACCCAATGAGCATAACCGGTCACCGCTTCGTGATGATAGCCAAGCTGCGTGGCATGCTGGAACAAATCCAGCGCATCTTTTTGTGATAAATTTTCAGCGATAAACGCTTGGCCGATCCAACAATTAATGTATGCTGGATCTATCCTCTGAGCCCATGAAAAAGCTTCGTTTGCCCGATACGGATCACCTGAAAATTAACAATTGTACCGATCCTTTTCGAGCAGAGTTCAATAAAAAATAAGAAATTTTAATAATCTCTTACCTAAAAGTAAATATAAACATCCAAGATTTGTCCATGAAACGGAATTTGACTCTATTTCAATAGCCATGACAAAGCTATGTTGAGCTAGAGCATAATTTTTTATTTCATTTGCCATACAGATTACACCTAATACGTTCCAATGGAACCAATAAGAAGGATTTATTTGCACTGCCTCTTTGGCTGCTGCTAGACATTTCAGAACTATGTCGTTTCGATCGACAGAAGGATCTAAATGTAATTGAGTCAGGTAACAATGAGCCAAATCGTGCCACAAAAGTGATGAGTTCTCCGACAGATTCAATCCTCTACAATAGCACCTTGAATAATAAAAAATAATTTGATAAATAGTCTTGATCTGTTCGTTAGATAAAAAATTACTTGTTTATGCATAAAAAGTTTCGTCCCAACATAAATGCTGTATATAATTAATAACTGTCTGTAACGTATTTATGTTATAAAAAAAAATATATAAAATATAAGTATTTATCAACTATTAACAAAAATATTTTTTTTCCATTTTAATAATAATTATGTACAAGTATAATATATTTATATACAGTAATTATCCTGTTAAAACAAACATAAATAAGGGATTGCTAAAAGATCGCTAGATTTTTCTCTAATAATTCATACTACTCGTAAGATTATGATTAAGATTATGATGATGATGATGATGATGATGACGATGATGATGATGATAGAATAGTAAAATATTTTTAAGTCATTTTAGAATGTAAAGTTGCTTATAATATAATTGTTTTTTTTTCTTTTTTTTTTTTTTCTTTTTCTTTTTTAACATAATTTTGACAATATTACTTTTACCCACACAATGATCTGTTTCAAACATTTGATTTGTTACCTTGTTGCTAATGAAAATAGTTCTTTTCGTTCGATTAGTACGGTTTTTTCTTGAGTATCAGATTGAATTAATTCCGAGATCACATTTAGGAAACAATACTTTTCTGGCAAAGTCGTTATATAACAACAAATATCACCTAATAATTTCCAATTGCACAAAAAGTCGCTCCGCTGCATGATACACTTTGTTATACTATCCACAGCTTCTTGAAAATCATCTCTTGCTCGAGCTAAACGTTGAGCTAAGGCGTGCTCTTTACCAATTTTAAAATAACATTCAGCTAAACCTTTCAAGGCTGCAACATTATGTTCGTGGTGTTCCAGAATGTTCAAAAAGGCACTTTTTGCCAAATCATATTGGCCTATTAACTATTAATTCAGAGTTACGGAACAATCACATTAATATTTTCGTTAATGCAAGAATATGGTAAAATAAAACTAACCAGTTTGATATTAGAGAGTTGAATCATAGAATAGACGGAGTCCAAATTCAATTCTGAAGCTCGCTCGTATGATTTCAAAGCAGATAAATAAGCTCCCCTAGCTAAATATGCATCGGCTAAGCACTCCCAGCAATTGCTAGAATTTAAAGGCTTAAAATCAATTAATGCAAATGCTTTATTATTATAAGAAAAAGCGGGAAGTAGAGTATGTGTCAAATAACCTGTCTGTTGGATCTATCTTTACGGCATTACGAAGAATTGAAACTGCTTTTATAGCATCTTGCTGATCGAGATATTGTAATCCGAGCTGCAGTAATGCCCATTTTGGACCCTTACCTTGGTTGGTCAATTGGGTCAGAAATTGTATATTTTCTTCCTAATATAGGTAAATAAAATTTATTCCAACTAATGATATGTAGCATAGACATTAATATTAAATATTTGTTTTGTATTGTTAAAATTGCCACAATTGCCGAAATTCTCAAATGATAAAGTCAAATTTATTAAAAATAATAATAATAATTAATGGAGATACTAACGGTCTTTCCTAAAAGTTTGTGCACTAAACTTAATCCAATACCAACTTCCTCCGAGTTAGGATTAATTTGTAAAGCTTTTTGGAAGCATTTGCGAGAACGTTCGTAGTCTTTTGTATGTTTTTGATGATATTGTCCTAAATAAACTAAACACTCCCAATTATTACTATCAGCACGTATACCCTTTAAGAAAGCCATCAAACTATGCCCATAATCAGCCATTTCCCAATGAATTTTTCCCAATGTTAGCCATACTTCGGATGTTTCCAAAATAGATCCTAGCACATCCGCAGCTTCTTCTAAATGTCTCTGTTGTAATAAATCAATGGCATGAAGCAATATTGCTTCAACTTTTGTGTCTGGATTATCTTTTAGTTTATTTATTAAATCTTTTGCACGTGGATCTCTTAACAAAACATACAAGTGTGCACGTAGAATCGAACTTTTTACCGAACCATCGGATAACTAGTGAAATAATAAAATGTGGATTAAAATTTAGCAACAATTGCTATTCATTATAAATGAAAATAAATACTACTTATTGTAAACTTAAGAAAATAATGAAAGCGCATAATTTAACATAATTTGAGTGGCACTGAAATACTCATACGTAATACTCATACTTAATGCGTAAAATAAAAGGCAAAGCATAGTAACAATGTGGATACAACTATTTGTGATTACTAGTTAAATTAATTTATTAAATGAGTCTGTTTTTTTTATAAAAGAAAGAATTGATTTTGTATAAAGTCCTAAGATCAACTACAATTATAATTAGAATGGCATGTAATTATGAATTAATTAAAATTTAGCATATAAGCTTTTCATTATTTATAAATTTTTTTTTTTATCATAGAGTGATAAATCTTACTTCGTCAAATTTAGCTTCAGCCTTCTTCCATTTAGTTCTGTTAGAATTTTTAATAAGAGATTCCAGAAGCAATAAATTAATAGTATTATTCAAATCACAAGAGCTTCCTTCTGGTATGAGTTTCTGCGCATGTAACGCAGCAATTTCAGCGTCTTCCCAACAATACAGCATAATATCAATTTTGCTCAGTAAGAGCCAGGCATGAAACCATTTTGATTTAACATTAACTAAATGACTAAGAATATTTCTCGCATCAATAAGATTTTTAATTTCATAGAAATATACTGCTTTTGCAAAATATCCAAGTAGAGATTCAGGATCGTGATCTAATAATGTTTCATAGTATACAGTGATATCGATATCTTTGTAAGTATAATAAGTTATACTATACTCCGAATACACCCTACAAATCCATTCTGAAAAAAATATTTATAAATATTTAATGGTTTCGTTGCATTTATAATTCAATATAAAGTTACCTAATGGATAAATATCTTGATTAAAAATCTTGTGCATTTTAATAGCCTCGGTCAAAAGTTTAATATACTGTTCGGATTTATAAAGTAACTTTAAATATTTCTTATAATAATCATGCCTATTTATAGAATCCTCCGCTTCGACAATAGAAACCAAAATTTGTTCTAATATTTCATCGAAACTGCGAGGAAGCTTTGGATACTGTGTTAAAATAGATGCTAATATTTCATTTATCTCTTTAATTACATTTTCGTCCAAGTTCTCGTTATCCCTTAATTTACAAATGATATCTACACTTTCCATTAGAGCGTTCTCATCTTTCAATTTTAATAGATTAATCGAAAGAGCTTTTAAATAATGCATTAACTTTGTTGGATCACTGATAAAAGAATACATATATTTTTAATGAAATTAGAATTTTCAATGAAAATCGAAGGTAAGATTAATAATACACATACCAATATAAAGTTAGGAGCTTATTGTAAATAAGAATTAATTCATTCCATGTTTCAGCTATATCCGATTGTCCTTCGTAGAATTTTAATAATCCATACCAAGCCGTCGGATTATCGGGCTGAATTTCAATAGCTTTCTTTAAAGGTATCAACAATTGATTCTTTAAATCTTCTACTTCTTGCATAGCAGCTGCCATAAAAATTAAAGCATTGTAATTGCTTTTTTCTTCCTTCAAAATTTTTTTGCATATTTTAATTACAATTAAGTATTCCTTCTGTTTCAAAAGGTCTCGAGCTTCCTTCAATAACACTTTATTGTCCTTCGCCATGACAGTATCTAAAATTGGTAATAATAAAATATCTGCCGAATTTTTAATTTAAAAGATTTTCGTTACCCTGTAGTGCATTTATGAATTACAAATTCTTAAGTACTATAAATATAAGTAAACATGTAATATTAAAAATTTATATTTTCCTTATCACAGCTTTATTATCAATCATTTAATCACTAACGATAAATTATTCTCTTATAACATAATATAAGATTTATATATAATTATTTACTTTTATTTCAACATTAACCTTAAAGTTACTAATTCCTTCAACGCTATATTTCTATGGCTTAGTGACATCACTATGACCATCCCCAGTCTTTGCAAATACGGAAATTAAATGAGGCAACAGTTTTTTGGGTCATGCGCAATCGCGGGGCCCAATTACACTGGTTCCCGCAAATGCCGGCAATTTCAATTTCCATTTTGAATTCCAATTCCAATCCCAAGTTCACTGGGGCGGGGGGTGGGGGTGGGGGTGGGGGTAAATGACGTTTAGCCAACAAATTGCTGAGAAATTTACTCGCTGCTTTATTCCCTAGGAATTTTCACGAGCTTTTCCATTGCCGATCGGTATAAAATGCGTAAAAAAAAAAAAAAACAAACAAACAAAAAATAAATAAATAAATAAAAAATATAAAAAAAAAAACCACGCACACTTTCCCCCTTCCACGGGAATTCGTCGCGCTATTATTATTATTAGGCTCTTACCTATTTAAGCAGGAGCAGCACGTGGAACTAGGAGCACCGACGCTATACACGTACATTACGGCCTCACCTGTACAATTATGATTTCGTACTGAGCACATTATTGAAAGACTATAAACTGTATGAAATTCAATTGTGTATACATCAATAAATGCACCATTTACTTTCCTTGTAAGCACAATAATTTTACGAGAAAAGCTCAAGATTTCATCGTACTCGTATAGAAAGTAGTGACCCATAGTAGGTGGGACTGGTGAGAGTAATTCACTCAATAATGGCTATTGTTAAATTAATGTACGACAGTTTAATAATCCAGGGAGCACATTATGCCAAAACATTTGCTTGGAACTTCTGTGCAATATTGCCCCAAATATAATACTTAAACGCACATTCTGAATAATTTTATAAAGATACGAAGACGAAATATCATTTTTTTAACTTATCATTGAGATTGTTTTATAAATTTTGTAAATGTCTTATCAATTTCTAGGACTCGCATTGGAACGACGCTTAAACCTATTCGCTTAATATTAAATATTTTAGTCGTTATAATGTACAAATTTTATTATCCATCTACTACGTAGATTTAAAAAAAAAAATAAATAAAAATAGCCTATTAACAGCATATTAATTACTGTTATTATATTAATAATTTTTACTTTTATCAGTAATATATACCACAGAATAATATAGAGAAAAAAAAAATGTTCCACCCGAAATCTAAGTGAATTTATCTCTATTCCAGAAGAATCGTCATATTTAATTAAAAGGCATTTTTTTTTTCCCCGCCCGAATTATTATTATCAATAAGAATAATGATAAGAAATAAATATATAAATATGAAATAATTTTTTAAAAAATATTACAATGTAAAATATTATAAATTAGCTTTGAACCAATATAAAATTAAATTTTTAAAAATTAAAAATTAAGTTCAAACATAAATAAAAGTTTAGCATAGAATATTTGCAATCTACAATTCAACATTTATATTCAATATTCTGAAGGACAAATTAAATAATATTTTATCTTTTACAATTAAACGTTGAATTGCAAAACTATATTTAATGGCTAATCGACGAATAATTATAAACTATATATTATATACATTATAATGATAAATATATGGGTGTGTGTATTTATACAATCAAATTACCTTTTATATACAAATCATTATGAACTAAATCATATTTGAATCCTAAAATAATGTATAATAATTGCCGTTCTCCATATACTTATACCATTAACGAAATATTTTTCCTATTATAACTATGTACTACTCATTATGAATTATATGATAGTGTTTACATGGAATTTTCATAATTTGTATATAATGAAAAGTGTGTACAATACGACTGAGGTATTTTCAAGAAATAAATCAACAAAATAAAAACAAGATAAGATTAGATAAAGAAAATAAGTTAGATAATATTTTTCATTTTTAACGTAAACATTTGAATTGCAGAAATTTAATTAATAACATATTAATAAAATTGATACAAGCATTATTTAAGTACTTACATGTCATTATGTTTTTAAAGCAAAACTTTTTATTATTCGTCAAATCGATAATAACGAAGTATGATAATGTGAATGAACAGAAATTATTAATTTATTTAAATGAAAGTAAAAAAATGAAATATAGTTGAAAAACATAGAATACGACGAATACATTGAGTATTTTGTTAAAATACTTTAACCGATTGTTAATAGAAATAATGAAAGTAATACTTGCAAATATCAATTTATCCAAATATTATTCATTTTCTAAAATTGTGCTATTGACTTTTTTTTTTTCTTTTCTTTTTGCTTTGTTTGTTGTTTTTATTGTCGTATTCATCGTCTATAGTGCTGGCGATTTTAATGATCTACGATATTATATCATTACTCTCCATTATTAATGACATCTGCGTCTTACAACTTTGAACGACCGATTATTAATCTGTAAACGAATGGAATGTTTGTCGAACAAAGATAAAAGTAGTCGATGAAAACTGTATTAACGCGCCATTGAATCATCCATTAATTGAAGGTATTTTGCTTTGGACGTGAAGCTTTCTTTCACGCAATAAACAAAACAAAACAAAAAAAAAAAAAAAAAAAAAACACCCTCTTTTTGTACCAAATTTCGAACGTGCTTCTTTCATCCAATGATAAACATTATTGCGCTGCTCGATGATCAATGATTATAAAAAAAAAAAAAACCTACTAAGGACAGCGCCGAGACGACGTAGCGAGTCTATACCGTGTGTGTGCGTGCCACGAGCCTGCAATGATAAAATCAATAATAGCCCGAGGAAATAGTGCGATAGCAGGCAGATGTCAATAGAAAATGCATGATCGACTGAAAGCGATGGCGAGCCGATGATGGGGAGCGTCATCGTTCCGTCTCCTTATCAACGGCCTCCACGAACCAATGAAGAGCCATTCAGGAGTCACAATAACCTAAAATTGTACGCTATTATGCCAGATGCTTGCCAAATCTACAAAGCAAAGAGCAACAAAAGAACGCGCAGCCTCGGTCTGCACTGCCCCATCCTCATTTCAATCCAAAGGTCCTCCCAAGGTGTTGGAGTATTCGCGCACTTATGGCCTTTCCGGCGAAAAGCGCGCGCGACGACGTAAACAAGTCGTAAAATCCGCTCCGTGGGGTCCTAATGCGCCATCCTACCAAGGAGCGGACGCGCGTCCAAGTCAGGCTGGGTTAACAGGGGCGGTCTCGTGCGGGAAAATCTCCCTTACCTGCCGTGTCAAATGACGCGACCCGGGGTTACGAGTTGGACCCGGAGGTGGCAAGGCGGCGTATATTTGCGCGTGCGCGTACCGCCCCGACAATTTACGGCCGGGCACGGCGCGACGCTTTTCGTGGATAAGCCCCACGAACACAACAAGGTGATTCATCATCAAGGCGCACCTGCGCCCCCGGGTGATTCGCACTTGTGCCCTCGTATGGCCACGGCAGGTCGTGTTCGTCGGCCTTCGTTGCTCGACAGGCCTACTAATACAACAATCAGGCCTGCGTTATCGTTATCAACCGGTGCGCGCACCGCCACCCTCCACCTCCCGCCATTCACCCCATTCAACCCCCCCCCCCCCAACTCCCGCCAATGAACGCTCTCACCGAGCGTTACGTTAAATATTAATTGCAGCTAAGCGTTCCGTTTGAGCGCTTATTATTGTTATTATTGTCTTATGCACCCGAAGGCCAAGGAGAACGCATAGTTTGGGCCGCCCAGCCTATTTCACGAAGGCGTACGTTCGCCCGCAAAAAACTAATCCATTACCGGCCCATCGGTTTACGGGTCTAACTTTCTGCCACTAAATGTTTATTTCTTCCTGCCGTCTATCTAAATCGTCTATCGCTAATTTTAATTGGACCGCTTGAATAATATCTGCTCCTCTATTTGCTAAGTACAGACGTATTTGTTGTTTTGCTTTTTTTTTTTTTTTGGAATTTTGTCACTTGATTTGAGCAATTGGATTGGTGAAAAAGCTTAGATGTATTATTGCAAATAACCGATGAAATATAAAAATCCAATATTTAAACGAATTTTTCATTATGAAAAAATTTCTTTTTAATTGCACTTTACTGATTATTCAACGCATCCAGTGTCATTAAATAATTATATTTAACACGCTTACAATTTTTCAATTGTATTATAATAAATACTTTATTTTTCAATAAAATGCATTTATTTACTTATTTAAAAAGAGGTAATAGATTCCATTATTAAAAATAAAATTCTTCTTTCATCTGTTTATTGCATTTAATACAGCATGCGATAGAAATAATTTCGTTGTTAAATTAATTGCTGTTAAATGTTTATTAAAGTGGATATTTTGCAGCATGAACATTTGTGTATGACTATGTATTTATTAATAATTAAATTTTCCAGAAATACATTTATGTGATTGATGAAATTTATTTAATTGCATATTACATGCGAACATAAATCGATAATTGTCAAATGAATAATTATAGAAACGAAAAATTTGCTCCCATAAATTTTCAAAATTTTTTAATTTAATATATTACCAATATAATAAGTATAATTTACTTCTACCTAAGAATTTAAATTGATTTGCTTTCAATCGATGGAATTAATAATATTTTAGTCATATGTTAAAATATTAGGAAAAAAAAAATAATTGAGAAGATATTATTGAGCATCGCGTGACTCTTATAAAGAGTCAATGAGAAGTTTGTACTTCCACTAATAAACGAAGCATTGAGTTAAAAAGCATATTTTAACGATAATGATTGTTTACCATTCTGTCTAGTATAAAAGCACAAATTAAAAATACGATCACGTAAGGCAGAATAATAAATCCTACCAATTTTATTGTCCAATATGTCAATAACGTCTTTTGCAATACAATCATCGTTATTCAAGTAAAAATCAAATTATCGTTTAACATTTGCATTTATTACACAATGACATTGTATTTGTTTGGGAAATGAAGAAGCAACGAGTGGATTATTTGAAAATTTAAAGAAAAAAAAAAAACTAAAAAAAAAAAAAAAAAAAAAAAAATAAAATGACATAAAATTCATATTGATCTAATTTTATTGGTAATAGGTGAAAGATAATCCGACCAATTTTCTTTTTTTTTTTTTTTTTTTCTTTATTTTTTTTGGCAAAAAATAAAAGGCAAAATATTATTGGCTCGGCTGCTTGGATTCGAAGAAACTGTTTGTTTACAAGTTTTGCGTGCGTTTTCTGACAATGCGGAAACTAATTCGGAAAAACGTATAGCATGATGGGATTTTGGGGAAATCGGTGAGTAATGTGGTATTATAAAGTAGAGGGTTCGTGTGAGTTGTTGACGCCTGTTGTTGTAACATTGTATCGTAATCGCAAACAGCATGTACGGTGTACTTTCATTAGGCGATGGAAAACTATCCCTCATGAGATATGCCTTTAACCATTCTTTCTAACAGTAAATATGCTTGGTTAAAATTCTGGACCATTTCAAAGAATCGAAAGTGAAAAACAACCTGTCAACGTGCCAAATACCAATTCCCTAATGACTGATTTTATTGCGGCATTTCCTAAAATTTTGCTGATTACTTTTCAGTATGAAGCCATATTTTGATCATAAGAAATTATGACGTTCAAAGTACTATGCGTGGGCTTATATTTAGGACTTTTATAAAGCGCGCGCACACGCACGCACGCACGCTTAAAAACAACACTATTAAAAATTTATTGTTAATTTTATACAATAAGTTTATAAAGTAATGAACAAGGCATGTTTAATTCCTTATTTACTTCTTTCTTGGATCGTTGCAACGTCTTAGAAGCAAAATTTTTCAATACGCGGTAATCGTTAAAAACAATGTTATTGTAAATATTGTGGTAAACTGTGTAAAGCATTAATGTGCAAATTAGCAATTGATACTTAATGATAGCGCGTGGCAACACATTTTCCTACAAAATGATGAGACATATGTATTGTTAAAAATTAAGAATTACTGTATCGTTCCTACTAATCATCTAGTAAAACTAAACTAAAAACAACAACAAACAAAATGAACCACCAATATTTTGTAAATTATGAGATAATACACATAAAGAAAGAGAAGAAAAAAACTGGAGAATATATTTTCATTTAAAGTCATATAATTAGAAATACAATTTTAGGAAATTTGAACAGGATAATACATGTATTTTTAAACTCTTTAATAATATTGCTTTAATCATATATATCGTCAAAAGCTAAATTAATAATACAAGTCAAATACAATTGAATGTTAATTTCAATATTCACCGTTACTTGAAAATTGTACTTAATATTGTCTCGTAATGAACAATTGGCCGAGCAAATTAAACACATTGATTTGTCGCATTGAATAATAATATGATACATATTAATAATGTGCGTATGTATGAGAGTGAGTAAGAGAGAGAGAGAGAGAGAGAGAGAGAGAGAGAGAGAGAGAGAGACTTTGCATTTGGTGGGAACAAAATGGAGTATATATATAGATAATATTGAATAATATTTGTCGAATTATAAAAGTCAGTAAATAAGGATTAAATGTATCGTCAAGCGGTACTGATATTGTGCACGTGCCAATGGCTACCTGTATCATGTAATAAATGTGTTTATCAGTTTACGGCAAACTTTAATGTCAGTCCGGTATTTTTGCAGGAGCAAAATTTAAAAGTCATAAATCCCCTCCAAATATTATGGCTGTACTTCAGTTTATTTTATAGCTAATCAGCTGGAGATTATAAAGAAGCCGACGTTACCCCGATTAACCGGCACGCACTTGTATAACGATGAAAAATGAAAATCCATAAAAAGGGTTACCTAATCCAGGAATCCTCCTTTTCTCCGGAATATCGACTCTCCCCCTCCTCCCTTTACCCCGCAAGCATAAAACCCACAACCAAACCCTCTCGCTGCTATTGCCGCCCACCCCCACGCAAACACGGCCGCTTTCGCCCACCGCCACTCGGCCCATTAATCATGTGTGCACTCCAATAAGGATAATCGCCGTTCTTGAAAGTCCGTGGTCCGGGCCCGAGGATTTTCAAGAAGCAGCAATTTCGTAACGGGTCTAACGGAAGCGCAGCGAAGGTCCAGTTTCATCGCCGGAATTGTCGTGCGCCGCTCGCACACGCATACCGGATTCCGGGGAAGCGTCCGAGTCCTCGAAAGGTCTCGCCGAGCTCGGGGTGTGGTGGGGCTGGGCAATGCTTTACCATCGGGGTGGGGCTGGGTCATTTGGGTGCTCGGTGAAGCAGGACGACGAGGTGGAGGAGGAGGAGGAAGAAGAGAGCGCCGACGCATCCGCCGTCGGGATAAGTCAGGCGATGGGATATAATGGCGGGGAGGGGCGTGCATGCGCGCGCGCGAAAGAGTACCTAACGTCGTAAGGGGCCCTGCGCCTTGGGCCCGTACCTCCTTCGGGGGAGCCGGCCACGCGTCGCTCGATCGCCGATGCAATGACCCGCGCCGGCGCTTATTCGCAGGCGAGTCGCGTCCGCGCGGGTCGGGCCGGTCATCGCCGCGCGGAAAAGACTCGCTCGAGCCGAGGTCGGTCCCCGTCCTCCCTTCCAGTCGCTTCCTCCGGCCTAACGCCCCGGCCCAGGTGAATGTCCCTTGTATTTTCGTTTCCGAAGCTCGTACACAAAACGGCCCGTGGATTTGGCACATACGTACCCCCTCCTCACCCAACCATTTCCCCTCCCCTCCCCGCCCCTCGCCGCCCACTACTCCGCCAAGAATTCGCAAGCCTTAGTTTGCTTAGCCTCTGCTCTTCCGCTACAAAGCGCTTTACCTAAACAAGGCCCAATCGTCTTGATTATGAATACTAGCATTGCCGGCTTGAGTCCCGTTTCCGTAACATTCGCTCGTAAAATTACGCTCCTACGCTGATTGCCGGTAAGGTTATTGGCTTCTCAGCTACATGATGTAATGCGCGTGTCATGTTTTGTGCGACCCACCCACCCATCCACCCACAACCATCATCAAGACCGCTCGATGTTGGTCGCGGAAACGCGAAAGTCCCGAATCGAACGCAATCGCACGGCTCGGCGGCATATTCGATTTTAAGGGGCTCGAAGGGACGTCGTAACGGCGATGGGACGTTCCGGATCACGCGGAGGACGTGGGATTTTGCGAGACTGGGAAAGACGCGTTTCGGCCCGGATGCGGATGTGAATCCGTTGTGCGTCCCCGGGCAAATCTCTCACACCTGGCGTCGCTCTTCGCTTCCCCAACCTTGTGTGCGCGCGCGAATTTTTCTTGTCATTGTGTGAATTCGGCGAGGGGGAGAGCGCGGGAAGAGAGTGAATTTTCGCCGGGATCAATAGCGTGATACGCTCTCGTGATCAAAGGACGAGCTCGTTGACGCAGAGCGTACGTGCTAATTAGGGCAATTAGTAGTCGGAGCGCATAATCCAAAGACAGACTGTCGTATTAAGGGAAGCCGCCGCGCAATCGTCAGCCGATGATAGACTTGGCCAAGAATGTTGAAGAATCGATTGGCTGCGAGGTCGTAGAGAGCGAGAACCCACGCGGCTCTCGAATGTCCCGGATCGGCCGTGAGTATCGGGATAATTGCGTAGTTGCATTGCTTGGACGAATTCCAGTGCCAATAAATTGCGATTCGTCTTCCAATTGGCATTGAGCGCTGTGGCTTGACACGCGAGAAACGAGCGATCGATCGCAACAATAACGATTTCTCCCCGTTAAGCGATCGGTGCTTTTCCGCGGCGGTCGTGGGGTTGGAGGCTGGGTGGGTCGGTTGATACACACACACACACACGCACACACACATATATACAGGCGCGTGGGGGGGGGGGG